ATGCCACTTGTCCTCTCTTGAGTTTCTTGTGTGACCCTGGGGGTTTTACTCAATATCTCAGAGCCTCTGTTTTCTTGTCTGTGTAATGGCAACACTGCCACACACCTCAAAGATGTTTGGTTCATGCCAGTCAGATCACAAAACCTGAGTAAATGTAGCTGTTCTTTTTCATTTGGAGTTTTCTTGTGGAAGAAATCACCGCATTTAGGCTTTCTTTGGAGAAGCCAATTGCAGTGGGATCTCGTGCACCTCCCATTCCTCTCCCAAAGACTAATGTCTTAATGGTCTGGCTGTCTTGACATCCTGGCCTTCCCAGGCAGCCCCAGGCTGGACATTTAGAGTCAACAAATATTATGGAAAGTCAGTCATACAAGAGACCCCAGGCCCGAGGACACCAGTGCAGCAGGGGTTAAGGCAAGCCCTGCAGCCACCCCCCCCAGGCCAGTTCACTGTAGAGCTATGGACGAAGAGGGAGGAAGGTCCCTCTCACTAGCTACCCGCCCCAGGGCACTGGTCTGTCGACCTGGGGGACCCTCGACAGCTTCAGAGACTGGCTTCAGGGGACCCGGGGGATATACCTGCTCAAACCTGCAACTGCGAATGAGGACGGGAAGCTGCCAAGAGGTATACGTGTGCGTGTGTGTGTGTGTCTCCAGCCCCGTCACAACTGAAGAGTGGAATTCCCTCCCACATGCACTGAACGATGACACCACACATGGCTGTCCCAGGGACCAAGCCTTTCTGTGGCCTAGAGGGTCCAGACTGTAGCTATAAATGCCCCCAGAAAAAGTCTGGTGGCTTCTGGTCATTCACTTCTTTGGTACTTTGTAAAATTTACTTCTTACTGGAGATGTCAGATTTGTGCATCAAATTGTACAAGTTGTAAGGGTGCAGCTTGGTGAATTTTATATAATGCCCACATAACCGCCACCCAGTACAAGCGCAGAATGTTTTCAGCACCCCAGGAGGCTCCCTGTAGCCCCTCCCAGTCAATTCCACCTTCTAGAGGTCACCACTATTCTGACTTCTGTCCCCACAGATCTGCTTTGCCTGTTGGTGAATCTCATGTAAATGGAATCGCAGTGTATGCACTCTTTTGTGTCTGCCTCGTGCTGTGCAGTATTATGTCTGTGAAGTTGATCCATGTTGCTCAAGTAACACAAGGTTTTCCTTTTGTATTGCTGTATAGTATTCCATTAAGCGGATATGCCATGGTTTATGTACCTATTCTGGGACATTTAGGTTATCTCCAGTTTTTAACTAATATGATGCAAACAGACACAGTATTCCTGTATGTTTTGTGGTGCTCCTAAATATGACAACCCAAATCTTGAGAGCAGATTTTGAGGGCAACACATGGTTAAGAACTCCAGGGAAGAGGAATTAAAAATGACTGAACTTCTGCTCTGGGCCATGAGCTTTTGTGGATCCACTGTACCAACCACAAAGGAAGGATGACAGAGAAAGAGCAGCTCCCGAGGGGAACTCCTCTGAGCTCATCACTGAGCCTGGAGCCAGCCATGTGTGTGTGTGTGTGTGTGTGTGTGTGTGTGTGTGTGTGTGTGTGTGTGTGTGTGTGTGTCTGTGTGTGTGTGTGTGTGTGTGTGTGTGTGTGTGTGTGTGTGTGTCTGTCTGTGTGTGTGTGTGTGTCTGTGTGTG